CTACAAAATTCAATCCCGACCCCCTCTCTTTCTTCTGGAATTTTACGGGGCATGCGCGCGCAACATAAAATGGCAAATGCCCATATTTGTAACAGACATGTGTAAATTAGCAGCGATCATAATCGAACTCAATTCAATATCTGCCTATATTCCCCTTTAAATTTTTCGCGAACACTTCCTTTAATAAAATAGTTAGTTCTTGTTATAACTTATAAAATTAGTTTCAGCTCTTTTCGTCTTTCAATTCTAATACAGTGATATTCTAAATATCATGGTATACTTTAAATTGATTGATGACTTCAAAGTTTTCATTGCTTAGAATTAGCTTGTCTTGTTGCATTCATTATAAGTATCCTCATTTTAGTAATAATTTTTAATAAAGAAATCACAAAATAGTCCTTATCCTGCCATTGGATATTAAATATACCAGAGATATTAAATATTTTCTTTAAATATTTCAATTTATTAAATAAAACCATGAACATGTCGCATTCAGAACAAATCATTCATATCTCTGGTAATTATGAAAGCACAAAAATAGCAGACCACATTTTAGAAAATCGATGGACTTGGGCTATTCTGATATTCATGATTGATAAAAAATATTGCCAAGAACAGGTTAACAATGTTTAACATCGCAAATCATTTCTAAGGTCAATCAAGACGACTTTTAAGTCATCAATCCCTTTACATTATTCCGGGTTATTTAGAATATCATTGGAAGTAAAAGCCTTTTTTTCCCCATTATGCACTCTTAGAACCTAGGGAAGTTTTTTCTTGTAGATTAATTATTTTTTATCATCTTATATCATAAACAGATTCAGATATCTGGGTTATCGTAGTCCAAGATATAAATTACAGATCAACATGGATACAGTTCAGTAAAATAGAGTTAATAAAGTTATAAATGAAAATATTTCTTTTTCATGCATGCTAATTGCTCAGTCCTTTCTCAATACTAAGAAATTGAGTCTTTGCCTCAAACTCTAATTTTCTAATCCTATACCTTAGATATTTCCAAGTGTGAATTCTGTTAGATCAAATCCAAGGGCAGAGAAGTAAGAGATAGAGTGAAGAAGAGAAGTAAGAGATAGAAAGAAGAAGAGAAGTAAGAGATAAAGGGAAGAAGAGAAGAAAAAGATAGAGTGTAGAAGAGAAGTAAGAGATAGAGAGAAGGAGAGAAGAAAGGGAAATAGAGAAGGAATTAAAATAGAAAGAGAGAGAGGGAGATAAAATAGAAATAGAGAGAGGGAGAGATGTAAGAGAAAAAAAGGTGAGAATTTTTTTACAAGTGTTTTATAACTGCTGTCTACTTGCATGTGCTGGGTCTTCACTTCTAGAACTTTAAGTTATTTAGTTTCTATATGCATTGAGGGAGCAATAGCTTCCCTGCTATGAACCGCACATTTGAAAATTTCCTATACAAAATTTGTTGCAGGATCAAATAGAGAAATTTCCTCGAGTCTCACTTTGCTGCTTGTGAGAAGGTTAGATGGTAGGTAGAGAGGATAAGGGTTTGTAGGAGTGGCGTATCAGGAATGTTTTGTTACAAAACACTCCATTAGTCCACATGTTATACAGTTTCCCAGTCAAGCGGAATTCCTTAGGTAGTATCGCATTTAGTGTGCACTGCTGCGTGCAGAGTGCTGAGTTGTCCCTTTTCGTCAGCTGTGGAGCAAGGCCCTTCCAGAAAGGGCTCTGATCGCTAAGTGGAGTAGGTATAAAAAGCCGTGGGTAATGCAGTTAAGAAAGGAGGCTAGCTTATTGATCACGGGGTTCAGGACCGCTTGGCCTTCCCTCCCTCCGATGTGTAGACAACTTTCTGAGTAGAGCTCTACTCTCTTATGCTGTAGGAATGCAACTGCAAAGATAGAGAGAAGGGGAAAAGTTAGAGATAGAGAGGAGAAGTGAAGTGAGTGAGGGATGAGTAAGTGAGTGGGGAAACTTGTGAGTGTGTAAGTGTATCAGTGAGTGAATGAGTAAGTGAGGGAGTGAGAACAACCAATTTATTTTGAATATAGATTCCCCTGGTCCCCTCTGATTCTCCCCCCTAGCCCCCCCCCCCCTGGTTCTCAGCTTCTCTTCTAATATATTTTTATGGACGGTTCAACGGTTCCAAACATTCTTAAATTGTCCATTGATCCTTTTTCAACAAAATTATGGAAAATTTTATGCTTTATTTTACTGTTATTTTATTAAACTTTACTTTGAGTCAGTTTAATTTGAAATGAAAGTCTAAATATTTCGTCATTGTTACAATTTGTATCCTAGTTACTGTAACATGATTCCCATTTTTATCCTAGTTAATGTAACATGATTCCCATTTGTATCCTAGTTAATGTAACATGATTCCCATTTGTATCCTAGTTCCTGTAAAATGATTTCCTTTTGTATCGTATCCTAGTTCCTGTAACATTATTCCATTAGTATCCTAGTTCCTGTAACATAAATCCCATTTGTATCCTAGTTTCTGTAACATGATTCTCATTTGTATCCGAGTTCCTGTAACATTATTCCATTAGTATCCTAGTTCCTGTAACAAAAATCCCATTTGTATCCTAGTTTCTGTAACATGATTCCCATTTGTATTTGTGCCGGTAATATGATTCCAATTTGTATCTAAGTTCCTGTAACATGATTCTCATCTGTATCCTAGATTCCATCTGTATCCTAGTTCCCATCTGTATCCTAGATATCATCTGTATATTAGTTACAATCTGTATCCTAGATCCCATCTGTATCCTAGATCCAATATGTATCCTAGTTCCCATTTGTATCCTTGTTTTTCTGTATCCTAGTTACCATCTGTATTCTAGTTCCAATCTGTATCCTAGTTCCAATCTGTATCCTAGTCATCATCTGTATCCTAGTTGGTATTTGTATCCTAGTTTCCATCTGTATCCTAGTTCCTATCTATATCCTAGTTACCATCTGTATCCTAGTTTCCATCTGTATCCTAGTTTCCATCTGTATCCTAGTTCCTATCTCTATCCTAGTTACCATCAGTATCCTAGTTCCTATCTCTATCCTAGTTACCATCTATATCCTTGTTCCCATCTGTATCCTAGTTTTCATCTGTATCCTAGATCCATCTGTATCCTAGTTCCCATCTATATCCTTGTTCCCATCTGTATCCTAGTTTCCATCTGTATCCTAGTTTCCATCTGTATCCTAGTTCCTATCTCTATCCTAGTTACCATCTGTATCCTAGTTCCTATCTGTATCCTAGATCCCATCTGTATCCTAGTTACCATCTATATCCTTGTTCCCATCTGTATCCTAGATTCCATCTGTATCCTAGTTTCCATCTGTATCCTAGATCCAATCTGTTTTCTATTTCCTCTGTATCCTAGTTCCAATCTGTATCCTAGTTCCCATCTGTATCCTAGTTACCATCTGTATCCTAGTTACCATTCATTTCCTTGTTCCCATCTGTATCCTAGATCCCATCTGTATCCTAGTTGCCATATGTATCCTAGTTCCCATCTCTGTAACCTAGCTACCATCTGTATCCTAGATCCGATCTGTATCCTATTTCTCATCTGTATCCTAGTTCCCATCTCTGTAACCTAGTTACCATCTGTATCCTATTTCCCTTCTGTATCTTAGTTCCCATCTGTAACCTAGTTACCATTTGTATCCTGGTTCCCATCTGTATCCTCGATCCAATCTGTATCCTAGTTCCCATCTGTACCCTAGTTTCCATCTGTAACCTAATTACCATCTGTATCCTAGCCACCATCGATATCCTAGTTCTCATCTCTGTAACCTAGTTCCCATATCTGTAACCTAGTTCCCATCTCTGGAGCCTAATTCCCATATCTGTAACCTAGTTACCATCTTTATCCTAGTTCCCATCTGTTTCCTAGTTCCCATATAGTTAAGTATTCTGCTTGGCCGAGTTCTTCTTGATATCTATTATCATCCCTTTTACAGTGTACATTACAGACAACAGAGCCGGTTTACAGTGTACACTACAGACAACAGAGCTGGTTTACAGTGTACACTATAGACAACAGAGCCGGTTTACATTGTACACTACAGACAACAGAGCCGGTTTACAGTGTACAATACAGACAACAGAGCCGGTTTACAGTGTACACTACAGACAACAGAGCCGGTTTACAGTGTACACTGCAGACAACAAGCTGGTTTACAGTGTATACTACAGACAACAGAGCCGGTTTACAGTGTACACTAGACAACAGAGCCGGTTCACAGTGTAAACTACAGACAACAGAGCCGGTTTACAGTGTACACTAGACAACAGAGCCGGTTTACATTGTGTACTACAGACAACAGAGCCGGTCTACAGTGTAAACTACAGACAACGAGCCGGTTTACGGTTTACAGTGTACACTAACAGACAACAGAGCCGGTTTACAGTGTACACTAACAGACAACAGAGCCAGTTTACAGTGTACACTACAGACAACAGAGCCGGTTTACAGTGTACAATACAGACAACAGAGCCGATTTACAGTGTACACTACAAACAACAGAGCCGGTTTACAGTGTACACTACAGACAACAGAGCTGGTTAACAGTGTACACTACAGACAGCAGAGCCGGTTTACAGTGCACACTACAGACAACAGAGTCGGTTTACAGTGTACACTACAGACAACAGAGCCGGTTTACAGTGTACACTACAGACAACAGAGCCGGTTTGCTGTGTACACTACAGACAACAGAGCCGGTTTACAGTGTACACTACAGACAACAGAGCCGGATATTGATTCCTTTAGAGACAGCTGACTGTACTGTTTCCTTATATTATTGGTTCCTTGTGTCCTTTATTATGAGAAATTATTGATATATTATCAAAAGACAATAATTCAAGAAGTTTCCAATTAAACTTAAAATAATTATATTTTCAGAGTTTAGGGTCGTCTTTACAATCTAATCCTTTGTTATTGTAACCCTGTACTAAAGCTGGCATTATAAAGAATCTATAGCATTGTTTTAAATAGGATAAATGTGTTTAAAAACAAGCTTGATTAAGATTTGTTATCAAAAAGTATGTTTATTTCTTAACACCAAGTGAAAAGACAAAACTGATTCAATTGTTTCATCACAAATCCTTTGATTACTTAATTTTTGTTTGTTTGTATGCAGTAGAAAACAGCCAGTCCAGGACCCCATTTGTTCCAAAGTTGCAATCAAATCTAAAATAATTTTTTTTCTATTTTAATTTAATAAAATGGATTAATTATCTTTCAAATTTCTTCTTCCATTTTGTAAGTAAAAATGGCGGTTATAAAAAGCTTTCAATATTAATAATTTTACATTTATAAATTTCTAGACTCGACAGTTGGTGAATAGTTTTAAAAGTCTTCTTCCATAAAACAACTTATATATTATTGACTTTTTGTAGATTATTTCGTTAAAAAATCTTTTACTCAAATATATTTTACTTTGAAATTAATTTTGCTATAATAAGACTGCCAATATAAATTTTTTTTACTATATTCTCTTTGATATCCCAAAACTTAACAAATTATGGATGAAGACCTTTAAAGGTATTCACCAACTGTCATGTTTCGTGTGACACCCTGTACCTCTCGTGATGTTTATCATGGAAATCAGGTTGTGGTTCTCTTGTTAGATCAGCTGTTGGAAATCTTATTAAAGGGAGTGACCGGCAATGTATGGTAGTTGAACTGGGAATGTAGTATTGTGGAGAATGTTTTAGGAATCATTTGAGACCAATAAGACTTTTTTTCTCTGCATATTTGATCATCAAGAGCACAAATTCAATCTTTAAAATCGTCATAGATTGTTCATTTTTGAGGGATGATTTTGAGAAGCGGCTTTTAAAAATTATTTAATAAAGACGACGATAAACGTAGTAGAAAAACTAATAACTTCTTTAGGAACAGGTTGAGAAAATAAAAATTAACTATTATTATCGAAAATAAGTAATCTTAGTCAGTTATTGGTTTCTGTAATGTCTCATTATTCACAAACATTTGAAGAAATCTGCAAACAAATTCAGAGAGAATCAAAAATTCAATATAATTATGAAAAAGAAATAATTGATTCTAACATTTAGTTATTGAGAAAATTACTATCGAGAAATATATTCCTAAACATCGAATTAGTTTTTTTTACATTTTTTGTCATCGTTATTTAATAATTTTAAAAAATCGATTCTCAAAACGTAACCACCCAATTGGATGAGTTTGAACGTCGACTTTGCGCTCAAACTCAGTAATTATACTCATTAAGACGTCTTATATGTTTAAAATGAATCCTAAAAAATTTCTCCACAATTCTACATTCTCAGTTCAAGTACCATACATTGCCAGTCACTCACTTAAAAATAATTATAAACATTCCATTGTGAACAAGACAGAAGGAGAAGGTCAACTCTATGCGACATTACTGCTACAACTTTGCGACCTCGAAGCTTCTCTAGTTTTGATATTATGCACAAGTATGATCAGATTAAAGGAATTGAGTCTTTGCCACAAACTCTGATTTTCTAATCCCTATATCTTAGTCTTAGTAGGCCTTAGATAAAGAGTGTAAAAAACCAAACACTTCAAACTTTTTCTCTCAAAGGCCTAATTAAACTCCGATCATTACAACATTAATATCGACACATTTATTTATTTTGAGTGATAAATTAATATCTGGATAGGTTTTTTGGTTGTCAAATGGTAGACATATTTTAAAAAATTCCATGCCAACGTTTCTGACTTTAACTGGTTCAATAGAGTGTAACTAATTATATATTTAATGATGATAGGAATTTGACATTTTTTTCACATTTGACAGAGATGATAAGATTTTATTAGTTACAGCAAATCATTAATATATATTGATTGATTTTAAACCGAAGATTCTAGATATAAGATATGAATTTTTTAAATTCAAGAAAAGTAAATTACAATTTGGAAACCTCAAATTTTTTTTTGACCCACCTTTTGTCACTTATTAACTATAAAAAGAAATTGATATACCAAGTACTTATTGATATTTTTATATTTTTAGATCAATAATTTTTATTTTTTTCTCCTCTGACTTTCTCATACTAGAGGTGCTACAAGGTCACAAAGCTTCATAAGTAATTTCGTATAAATTTGACCTGTCCAATGAAGATTAAAGGGACTATACCTGTATCCACTATGGTTAGTTTGTGATGAAAGATATGACAACAGCCACCAGATTAGATAAGAATATGCATGTGGTCCACATACTATGTATCTGGTACAAAATACAATAATTACTAACCACCAGATTAGACAAGAATAGGCATGTGGTCCACATTCTATGTATCTGGGAAACAAATAAAATAATTACTACACAAATAGAATAATTACTAACCACCAGATTAGATAGGAATAATCATGTGGTTCACATACTATGTATCTGGTACACAAATACAATAATTACTACACAAATACAATAATTTCTAATCACATAATATGTATCTGGTACACAAAAACAATAATTAGTAACCACCAGATTAGATACAAATAGGCATGTGGTTCACATACTATCTATCTGGTACACAAATACAATAATTACTAACCACTAGATTATAAAAGAATAAGCATGTGGTGCACATATTATGTATCTGGTACACAAAAACAATAATTACTAACCACCAGATTAGATAGGAATAAGCGTGTGGTCCACATATTATGTATCTGGTACACAAAATCAATAATTACTAAACACCAGAATAGATAGGAGTAAGCATGTGGTCCACAAATTATGTATCTGGTACACAAATGCAATAATTACTAATCACCAGATTAGATAGGAGTAAGCATGTGGTCCAAATACTATCTATCTGGAACACAAAAACAATAATTACTAACTAACCAGATAAGAAAGGAGTAAGCATACTATGTATCTGGTAGACAAATACAATAATTACTAACCACCTGATTAGAACTTTTCAATTTTTATAAAGGTTAAAAAGAAACAAAAAATGATGAATTAAAAAAATTTGAGTTTTTACAACTTAAAACTTTTAAAAACTAAGATCTGTTTACCCTATATTCGGTAGGACGTTTACAAAGCAATGTTCCAGAGGATGGCAGTAGTCAGTAGCCAGAGCAATAGGAGCAGTGTATTCATGGTGTACCTAGAGCAATAGGAGCATTGTATTCATGGTGTACCTAGAGCAATAGGAGCAGTGTACTCATGGTGTACCTAGAGCAATAGGAGCAGTGTACTCATGGTGGTCCTAGAGCAATAGGAGCAAAGTACTCATGGTGTACCTAGCGCAATAGGAGCAATATGATCAATGTACTCAAGGTTTATATAGAGCGATAGAAGCAGTATTCTCATGGTATATCTAGAGCAGTGTACTTATGGTATAACTTGAGTGTACCTAGAGCAATAGGAGCAGTGTATTCATGGTGTACCTAGAGCAATAGGAGCAGTGTATTCATGGTGTACCTAGAGCAATAGGAGCAAAGTACTCATGGTGTACCTAGAGCAATAGGAGCAATATGATCAATGTACTCATGGTGTATATAGAGCAATAGAAGCAGTATTCTCATGGTATATCTAGAGCAGTGTACTTATGGTATAACTTGAGCAGTATTCTCATAGTATATTTAGAGCAATGTACTTATGGTATAACTTGAGCAGTATTCTCATGGTATATCTAGAGCAATGTACTTGGTATAACTTGAGCAGTATTCTCATGGTATATCTAGAGCAATGTACTTATGGTATAACTTGAGCAGTATTCTCAAGGTATATCTAGAGCAGTGTACTTATGGTATAACTTGAGCAGTATTCTCATAGTATATTTAGAGCAGTGTACTTATGGTATAACTTGAATAGTATTCTCATGGTATATCTAGAGCAGTGTACTTATGGTATAACTTGAGCAGTATTCTCATGATATATCTAGAGCAGTGTACTTATGGTATAACTTGAGTAGGATTCTCATTGTGTAGCAAGAGTTCCTTGTTACTGATTACCTTATGTACATATTTGTATAGCGGCCGACTATGAGCTGCTCTATGAGCTGCGTAGAACAATATTTCATCAACAACTGCAAACCCTAGGATATCAACTAGTAACTCTCTACTGGAGGGAACGTTTTTACTGAATAAATATATATGCTAAATTGTGAAGAAAGAATACTTCTTTATTTGTTAGTAAAAATCTAAAAAAATGATTTTAAACTGTTGTTAACCTGGACACCATCACCGTGAATTTTTGTGATTTTTAATGAATAAATATTTAAAGGAATTTTTGTAAATTTTTTTATGCATTGGGTAGGGTATAGGGCGGTGAAAAGTCCGGGCTACGTTAAACAAATCTAAAATTGCCCATAACTTTTTTTGTGCCGAAAGCTCGAGATCTAAAATCTACATTTTTGAAAAGGCCTTGAAAAATGGATGTAGAAACACTTTGATATTTGTTTAAAACAAAAGAAAATATTTTTTTTTTATTTTTTTTTCATCCCTCTCTAGCATCCAAACTATTAAAGTTATCTATCTATTTTTTTTCATTGAGCTGGCCTTGAAGAATTGGACTATGAACATGAATTTGGGCGCTCCCCCTTCAGGTCATACATAGATTCAGATCCCCCATCCTTTCTAGGGTTAACGTAAATGTGAAATAGTTAACTAATTCAAATTTCTGATTTCAAATTTCAACTTTTTGTAGGTCAATTTTTTCAAATGAATGATTTGAATTGAAATTAACAAGAAAAGGAAAACTAAAATCCAAAGAACGTATTAATTTTTTAAAAAAAATAAAAGAATTCCATTCTTCATGTAATCATAATTTGATAGAAAAATTTAGTTATTAATACATTTTTTTTTCTAACAGGTTGTAAGCACAGCCTTTACATTTTACAATTATAATTGCTTGAATATGCAGTGTGACAAAAATGTTCAGGGCAAAAACCTTTTTCGGATATTACAAAAGGAAATAAAGAGAGAATCAACAATTAGAGCATATTCCTAATACTGAGCCCGTAGTTTGTATTTATAGATATCCAGGATACCACTAGGGATATAGGTACATAAACCCCCAGCTGTACACTCAGTACACGTCGGAACAAACGGGGTAGTTTGTGTACATTCACCTCCACTCTAGGCTGAAGTTTGTACTATAAAAGAAAAAAGAAACACATTACGACTATTTAAAATGAATCAACAATTTTGTTTAAGAAAATGTACATTTCAAAAATATTTTTATATTTACTTTAAAAATAATTATGCATTTTGGGAATAATTATTTTAGAAAAAGAAATATCGTAAAACAGAATTTAATTGCAACATATTCTGTAATTTCAGAGTTTTTGTCTTTTTGATAATACAAAATTACCCACAAAGAGTGATTAAATATAAATAATACAGGGGTGGTTAGTGGCCATTGGGGAAAAAATCTAGACATGTGCCTCTGTTGTCAAACCATTTCTTTGTAATTCTGTGTGCATAATATCTCATTCTTTATAAATAGGTAAATGTGTATTATGAAATTAACGCTGTGTAACCTTATATAAAGGTTCCCAATTGTATATCTAGGACTAGGAGAAGGAGACGGTGTATCTTGTATACCAGGAGAACTAACCTTATATAGAGGTTCCCACTTGTATATATCTAGGAATAAGAGAAGGTTACCGTGTATCCAGTATACCAGGAGAACTAACCTTATTTAAAGGTTCCCACTTGTATATATCTAGGACTAGGAGAAGGAGACCGTGTATCCAGTATACCAGGAGAACTAACCTTATATAGAGGTTCCCACTTGTATATATCTAGGTAATGGTATCTAGGACTAGGAGAAGGAGATCGTGTATCCAGTATACCAGGAGAACTAACCTTATATAGAGGTTCCCACTTGTATATATCTAGGACTAGGAGAAGGAGACCGTGTATCCAGTATACCAGGAGAACTAAACCAGGTATCCAGATACTGACAAGTCTCTCAGGGTATACACTCAACAGGGACCAGGTCTAGCTGAGTTTATATTATTTATCATCACGATTGGACTCAGCTGGGGCTATAAAGTGAATCGTTTATGAAGAAAAATGATATAGTTGGGACTGTAGGTAGACGTTAAATTTTAAAACTTTTTTACTCAATAACATCGAAAAACCTTTTAATTTTTGTCTGATAACCAATAGCGGAAAAGAGTATATATTCATTATTAAAGTTTATCAGACAAATGTTTAAAGGGTAAACCGGACAGTCCTTTCTCCATGTATGGAGAGTAACTTTAAATGCACTTCAAACTCTAGACATAATAGACGGTAACATTTATGTGATATTACTGATACAACTTTGTGACCTCCTAGCTCCCCTTGATATGAGAAAAGCAAATTAATATGGCTACATACTAGAAATTCATAATATATTTGTTTTTCTTAAAAGATTTTCAATAAGAGTTGTTTTGATTTAAAACATTTATATTTCAATTTTATGTAAGATTTATTTTGATTTAACGTGAATTACGTCCACAGTCCCTTTAAGGGGATTGAAATAAATTACAAAACTAAAAAAATATAATTTATCTAAACTCAGTTCCTCTTGGACGTATGAAGGTTTAAGTACAACAGATAATCCCAGTAGAACCCCTAATAAACACTACACTAAAGCTACAGATAGGTCCAGAAAACAATGGAATAGGAAGACGACATTATTGTTGTAACTACGTGTTTTACATTGCAAATAGTTTACTAGACACATACTAGATCACTAATTTTGTGAAATGGGTCTGTTTACAATTCTCAATCGATGTGTCATATGCTTATTGGACTTTATAAAGTTATATCTTAATTCTAAAAGTCGTCTTCCTATTTTCGTTTTCTGTTTATCAGTAGATTTACCTTTTCTCTTGTTAATTTTAACTTATATTAACATTTTACATAATGAAAATATTTTATTTTCCTCAAGGATTATTAGAAAGTACATTGAATCAACTTACAGTGATATCCAGAAAACTCTGAAATAGGAAGACGACTTTTAGAATCAAGATATAACTTTGAACCTAATGACCATGACACACAGCAATTGTGCTGTGTTAGCAGACCCATTTTACTAAATTAGTTATCTAATAAGAAATAGTAAAACTATTTGCTTTGTAACAACATCAAATACACTTAAGTATTGCTATAATGTCGTCTTCCTATTCCACTCTTTTCTGTGTATTAGTCTAAAGTTTTTCAAATATTTTTATTTTCATTTAAACACAACTTAGACTTTTATGCCTAAGTCTAAAGACATACTGCCTAAATGCTTTTTTTCGTTTTAGACTTTACATTTTAGAACTTTTTGGAAAGAAATTTTGTACAGTTTGTATGCTCACACTCATTCAGGTAAAATTGCAGTTTTTTCACAAACCATCTAAATATTGCATCGTTGAATTACACGGTGAAGAGTTTTTCGAAAATGAGTAATCTTCGCAACTTCTATAATCATCACGACACGCCACGTTCTGATAATCATCACATGCTGATAGTCATTACGTCACGTTACGTACTGATAATTATTACGTTACGTTACGTGCTGATAATCATCACATCATGTCACGTACTGATAATCATCACGTCACATACTGATAATCATCACGTCACGTCGCGCACTGATAATCATCACGTCACGTCACGTTCTGCTAATCATCACGTCAATACTTATAATCATCAAACGCTGATAATTGTCACGTCACGTCACGTACTGATAATCATCACGTCACGTCACGCACTGATAAACATCACGTCACGTCACGTACTGATAATCATCACGTCACGTCACGTACTGATAATCATCACGTCATGTCACGTGCGGGTGATCATCACGTCATGTCACGTGCGGGTAATCATCACGTCATGTAACTTACTGATTATCATCACATCACGTCACGTATTGATAATCATCACGTCACGACATGTACTGATAATCATCACGTCATGTCACGTATTGACAATCATCACGTCACGTCACGTATTGATAATCATAACGTCATGTCACGTACTGATAATCATCACATTACGTCACATATTGATAATCATCACGTCACGGCATTTACTGATAATCATCACGTCATGTCACGTACAGATAATCATCATGTCATGTAACGTACGGATAATCATCACGTCGCGTACTGTTATAGCATTAAACCTGTAATAGAATAGAATGTGTAAACTGACAACTTGTATTTTATAAACACTTTACTCTTCCTCAATATAGGGGGATATCTAGGAGTAAGCACAAATAATTTAACCCTTTTGCACCCATAGAGAAATGCCTGGTGGTGTCAAGAAAAACTTTAAAAACCCAGTTCGGGATCCACGTTATTTTCGCTTCCGGGATCCGGATCCGGATTCGAAGTTTTTGACGGATCCACGGTTCTGGATTCTAGAGGGAAAATATCAACCAAAAATTTGTTTACACAACTTTTTGCTTTAAAAACAAAAAGCTCAACTATTGAAAAGCAAGAGAGTATTAAAATTGTTGTTATCTCTTATCTAAATAATTCATCAAGTTTTAGCAAAGAAAAAGAAACTTAAAAAAAGAAGATTTGAAAAGGTTTTTTTTGTAGACAAAATCTGAAAACTTTTTTTAACTTTGTGCTTTTCAGTATGGGTTCTTTGACTTTTTTTATACTCTTCCCGGTACAAAAAGGGTTTAACAAACTCAGTGGGTGTGAGGCATTCAAACTTAAATTGAAATTGACGCGTTTTATAAAATTTGTTATTTTTACAACAACAAAAACTTTATTAGATTTGGTTTGATTTTTGATAAGATATTGTCATGAGATCAATCTATTTGTACTAGGATGAGATATACCTACTCCTAGATCAGAGTGGTATAAAGACTATTAACTACCAAATGGAGAGGTGGAGTTGGAAACCAAGAATATATAGAGAAGCAGGAAACTCCATACCAAGGAATCAACACCTTAACAATATATAAATAATTGGTTTGTTGGAATCTGATAAACGGCTGAACCGATTGTAACAACAAATTTTATATGCCTATATTGTGACGGAGACTCTATGGGAAAATCTTGCCTCCATAAAGTTTAAATTTAAAAAAGAAATTTGGAAATCAGAAAGGAGAAATGAGTCGGGATTATCTTTGCAACCTGTAGGTGTAAAACTTTGATAATTCAAACTTAAAGTATTTGATCCATCAGGCTTCATAGTTTAAAATGATTAAGATCTACGACATATGGTTGTACAGATATAAGGATTAAAAATGTACACAAAAAGGGGGAAGAAAATTTAATGAAAATTCAAAAATTAAAAATTGTAGAACTCTACAAACCCCAGGGAAAGGGTATGTCCAGTAAAAAATCAAAATGTTATTTTAACTTTAAATTTTTTAAATTTTTTTTTTTGCTAAAATGAGACAAAAAAGATGTTTTTTACTTTATTATTATTCTTTGTTAGGATTTTAAATCATATCTTGAATAAACCTTAATGAAAAGCGTGTATAATGTTGTTTAAATAGCTGTCACACTCCAAGGTGTTGAACCTGTCTGAACTGTACAATTGTCAAAAACTCTAATTTTCGTAAACCTGTATCTTTGCACGCTGACGGTGTTACAATATTAGATATTTCAAACTTTGATTTTTTTAATGTCATGGTTAAAAGTATCAAATGGTCTTCAAAACCAGATAGAAGGATGAAAACATTAGAGTAAGTGTTTAGTTATAATTAGTTTACTAAAAATAATTTTATGTTTACAATTAACAATACTTTTGATAAAAAAAGGACATGAACAAAACGGAAAATTGAATATTTTTTCTTCAGATAAATTTCTTTCTTAAATTTACATTATAGAGAAAGATTTTAAATTATCACGTTTTGTATTTTTTATGAAAAAAGAGAAAAAATTAAATGTAATTATTTACCATAACACAAAGGGAGAAAAATCTAACTTTTTTGTCTCACAAAGATAGAACTTACTTTTCACCGGACCATTTCATAGCAAGGACTGCATTTTAAAAAAAAATTTTAAAAAATATTTTTTAAAAAATATTTTTTTTTTCACGGGCAACGCTGGCCCCTTTAGCTGGTAATATATCATATTCTAACATCTTATTATCTCTGAATTCTGGATGTTCGCCAAAGGAACTGAGTTTTTGCAACAACCTCTGGTATTCTAATCCTTATATCTTTGCAGCCCGATGTTTTAGATCTTAGATATTTTAAACTTCATATTCTGTTAGATCAAACAGCCTAAGTTTTAAAAATCAAAGGTTTGCTCTAACAGGTTGCAAAAATATAAAGATTACAAAATTTTAGTTTGTGGCAAAAACTCAGTTTCTTCCAGCCGTAAATGACAATATGTTTAAATTATTCATTTACCTAAGAATGTATCAAAGTCCCACATGTCTACACTATACAGAACAAAGTTCAACTGACGTTGTTTTAAAGTAAAGAAATAAACTGATAAACTAGTCTTATATCTCTATCTGTCTATCTATCTTTCCATATATTTTCACAGGGTTACCCAGAAAAGATGAATCTTCAGTAACAATTACTTTTATGAGTTTTAGGGCGCTTTGTGCTACCTCTTTTTTAATTACCAGTTTTAGCCATTTTTTGGTGGATTTTCTGGTTACAATGCATAGGTGCACAAACAAACAAACAACAGACACCCAAGCAAGGTTTATATAGAAAAGTCGCCATCTTTTATTATTTGTCTTTCAGATATAATCTTTTCCTTGGTTTATTATTATTAGTTAAAAGTTAGTTACTTTAATTGTGTTAACAGCTTTAGTACCAATATTAAAGTACACATTACATAAATTGTACATTTAGGATAAACTTTTCTATGGAAACCGTACATTAAGAAATACCATAAAAGTTACATTTGAAATACTGCAGTCGTCGTCGAGTATATTTAGGTTTTCAATTAATATAAAATTATCTATATTTTGATTCTACGATTTCAGTTCTATATTTTTAACTACCAAATATAATAGTTAAAGCTATTAAACAAAAAAAAAAACTCATTTTTGGTCTCAACATCACTTTTTCCCTTGTATTTGCTTGTTTTGCATTAGTGAATTTATATACGTAAAAACTCGGTTTTACTTTCCACAAACAAATGGTAGTGGAATAGTAATAATTGATCATACCTAATATCAAGGTTGTATAATAAGGTTGGTTATTCTCGATGCGCTCCAATGTACAGAAAATGTTGTCTCCTAAGACAGATAAAACCTCATATGACGTCACTCTCACCTCTATCTATCTTAGGAGACGACATTTTCCGTACATTGGAGAGCATCGAGAGTATTCAACCTTATTATACAACCTTGCCTAATGACCAATAAACACAGCGTACAGACTCCTTTCAGTTAAAGGTCGTAAAGATACGGACAAAATTAAAAACACGCTTAATGTCGTCTTTCTAGACCACAGATTAATAAACCCCACATTTTGTATGTATGAACGGAAAGGAATATAGTTTAAGATCTCATACAAAGTGTCTCAGTGTCTCTAGTGCAATATTGAACAAACGTTAAGTCTGTCTCTCTCGATATATTAATATTATTCTATGTATAGTAGTATATAGAAATCCAGGGTTGTATATTAACCCCACTGCCCTTACCATTTACGAAGAAATTTTTTAACTCTTCACCCCCCCCCCCCACACCACAACAAACTGTAAAATATTAACAGCCCTTTAGAAATAAGATATATAAACACCCCTTTAGAAATAAGATATATAAACACCCCTGTAGAAATAAGACATACAAACACCCCTGTAAAACTAGGATATATAAACACCCTTGTAGAAATAAGATATATATACACCCCTGTAAAACTAAGATATGCAGACTGGGATTCTCTTGTGCAAATTCTAAAATCATTTATTGAAATATCAAGTCATAGTTGTATCGACTAGAGGCTAGGGCGGGCAATGTTTTGTTAACAAACGGCAATTTTTTGAAAATAAATGGATGATTCCGTTAACCAGGCTCGTAGCTAGGGGCCACAGGGGCATTTGCCCCCCTTTTACAACTGAAGGGGGGCATAGGGGGCACACTTTCTAAGAAAAAAATGAAAAACTGAAAAGAAGGAAACGAAAAAAGAATGAAAAAGGAAAAAAGGGGAGAAAATTGGATTAAAATCTAATTTTTATTACAATGGAGTGAATACATTACGTCAATTAACATTTGGTCAATTAACATTTGGTCAATTTACATTTGGTCAATTTACATTTGGTCAACTTACATTTCGTCAATTTACATTTGGTCAACCTTACATTTGGTCAATTTACATTTGGTCAACCTTATATTTGGTAGATGGAAGAGAGGGTGGAAGGGGGGTAGGGAGGGGAA